TACCTTAAGTCGACAATTCTATTCCCTAAGTCGCAGAAATAAGTTAAAGTCAATTCCACCATACATCTATGATGATATTAAACAGAAATGGAGACAGCAGTCATTTTTGACGGACAACAACAATTTTCATCACTTCAATTGACAACTCCGCTTAAATCCTCACACTACTATGTGAGTTTGAGTAGAGTGCCTTGATGAGTGCAACATACTTTCTCTGAAATACAGGCATTACCTAATACCTCAGTTAACCTCAGAAACCGTTTGTCATCACCAGCCTTAAACACCACCAGATTCATTTCATTAGGTTCTGTTGCTCCGCCTCGTTACAGATTAGAGACGGCTTTTGTAACCTTAGTTACAGGTGAATTACCAATGTCTACATCCCATTCAGGTAAGTGTTCAGTGCTGATACTTCACTATACAACAGGGACCTACATCAGGTATAACGACCGATGTCAAGAATTAAGGCTTTCGGGGAGTTTAATAGAAATAGGATACACCCATTATGTCTGAAAGCAAAATTTTTAATTTAATTTTTAATTTTAATTTTTGATTACAGCTTGATGCCACACCGTATTTTCAGTACAAGTATGGCATTTTCAGCATGGATATCGGTAGCCCAAATTTTGCAGGCCGACCATAGATATCGGTTGTGCGTCGGCAGGGGATCGAACCCGGGACCATGTGCATGGTCGGCGAGAGTCCTAACCACTGTGCCACCGATGCACAGGAAAACTACCAACTACCTCTAACCAAAATGTGTAAACAAACATTAAGGAGAATGATAATGAAGTATTTTTCAAATCGTTACAAAGAAAGCTTTGTCATGTTTGTAACGTGTGGGGTCTAAACGTACCAATCAACTTTTTGGAACAGATTGTTTTGGAATTCTGTGATGCTGAAGTACTCACCAGTATTCGCAAACACCTTCTTATTAACCAACTGATAATCAGTATTAGTTGTCATATGTATAAAAGGCAGCAGGTATTTTCTTCAATCCAGTCACCACGTAACAGCAACAAGCAAGACACGGAAGCCAAGGCAAATTTTTCAATAATCAAATCGCTGTTTATATATTTCCAGTTCATATTTATTAACCAACCACTGAGCGTGTGATTTTGATTTACATTAAACGACATGAAATAGAATGTTCAAATAGATGTATCCTATTCTGTTACTGAACTGTGGGAATATGTGAGAATCATATTCCGTCTTCATTGCACCACGACAACCGTCTCCTCGTCAAACACCTTCGACTGAAGTCAGTCCGATCTTCTTGATGCTGGTGGCTACGTTGGCTTTTCTTCCTGCATCGAATTCAGCAGCTCGCTGACATTTATCCGCTTCCGTTTATTTGCATTTCTGATCGTATATACGTGAGCCCGTCTTATGGTGACCATGTATGGTCTTTCCCACTTTGGAAGCAGTTTACATGGCCCTGGTTCATATTCGCCGGTTTTTCACCTGGAGGCATCATGTGCTGATGTTGTCCGAACTCCCAGCAGCATTCAAAGTAACAGCCTCATCGCTGAAGGAACTTGAACGCTATTTAACCCCATCCCATAGGAAAGGAAAATCCTGATATTTCCGGTACAGATAATGGAGGTGAAATCAATAGAAAGAACTTTGGTTGTAGTGGTGAGATACAAATAACGTGTTCCAACGGAATATGATTGTCACATATTCTTAAATTTCAATACTGCATCAGCGATAGAATACGATACATCTATTTGAACATTCCATTTCATGTAGTTTAATCTAAATTCTGCTTCCTTTCAGCAACTTAGAGACTGACTTGTTACCGAAGATAAGTCTTGCTCACTTGGAGTACGAGCATGATGGAGTCCTCCTAGGTGAAAAGGATGGCAAAATGCAGAATCTTCTGAACACCTTGAGTAGTAATCTCTGACTTTTTGATATGCGATTGACTCCTGTCACATATAAGATGATACTGCATGACAGGACTGCATCGACTCCTAGCTTGGCGATAGGAAGCGAAGTTGTAGAGCATGTTAGCCGCTTTATTTATTTGGGAATTTGTATCGTCCCTATGGACAGATTACTGTCAAAATCAATGAAGTTAAACTATCGTAGTCAAAGTCAAGGTCTGCGACATATTTACCCTCAAGAATTTATCATATTTTAGGGGATGCTATTTAAAGTCATTGCAAATCAAATCATGCCTGCACTTTTGGATTTAGTGAGGCTACGTGTAGGGGTGAGGATACACAGCATCTCAATTCAAACTTGCCACGAATTCTTTTCAGCATGCTTGTGTAAGTAGAACGGAGGCGGTCAGTAACGGCTTGGAATTCCTCATGAATTTGATTTTGTATTACGGGCCTAGATGAATGCTGTAGTCACGTCATATGTTAAGTCTGGCTCTTTTGAAAGTGTTCGGTCAACCATTTTACATAGATAGAATATCTGTTGTGACGTGTGCTGTACTATCCTCGAAAACCTCATGATAACCTTTACCCTCACTCTAGGTACAGTATTCCGTTTACTCAATAGGTGCGTTTTGCTGTACAATGAACGTGAATTTCCAGTTCATTAAAGAAATTTATGGACAACCAGATAGCGTTCCCAAGGGACTATCCCTAGGCCCAATCCTAGCAGATTTTTTCCTGGCAAAACTAGAGAATGTTCCTTTTAAAAGTGTAACATACAATCTTGATTTCTTTTGCCGTTATGTTGTTGATACATTTATAGTTGTCAAGACAGAAAGTGATACTGAGGACATATTGAGTAAATTCAATAGAGCATATTCTAGCATAAAGAAGAAGATGAAAATGACTCTATCCCCTTTTTGGACTTCCTAGTGTCTAAACTGATGGACGGAACAATATATATAGACGTTTATATCGAAAACCTACTTCCACTGGATATCATACTCACTTCCAGAGCTTCGTATCTCTACAGTACAAACGTAATCTGGTTAGATGTCTGGTTCACCGGACTTGGGTTTTCTGTTCAAAAGAGACACTGAACGAAGAATTTGGTAATATTCGCAGTCTTCTAAGTAGAAACGGATATTCAACTAAATTCTTGAACAAACACATGAACTCAAAACGTAAAAGGCCGAAGTTGCCAGCTATCCTAGGGTTACAATTCGTGAGTGATGTCAATAGTGAGGTCTTATCACGACGTCTGAGAAGGGCCTTCAGAAGGATTTTCAACGCAGCTAAGCTATACTATGTATTCACTAGCCGACCAATACTTAGTTCAAGAAATAAAGACATACTGCCCTGTTTCACCTCCTCCATGTGTATTTGTAACAACAGAAGACAAGGGCCAGGCAACAGATCATTTATTAAGGAAATCAACGCAAATTTATATATTTCATGTACATTACTATGGATATCTAAGCAAACAAACACAGTCTTCCGATTGGTTGTTTCTTACGTAAAGTTAATCTTTCATCTATTTGTGACTGTTTCTTGAATGTCAAATCCTCTATATGTTAACTGCATCCGCCTACGCAAAGTCTGCTGTGGTCGGTTTTGAATCAATCTTTGTTCACACTTTCTCACGACAAATCTCGCGAACGTAAATATTGACGTTAACTACTAGCTACCAATTCGGCTAGTAGACAGATCTCACCACATATTCACCAGTTTAAATATACGTACGTAGCTAGATACATAGGGCGTACTATCAGGCTAGTTCATCGTCGCATTTATGAACACCTCCCATTTTAGTTTGGCAACGGTCCAAACAAAGCTATATGCAGCTCAGTGCTAGTTCATCTCGTCGATACTGGACATCAAATCGAGTCCAACAAAGCTTATACAGTTATTTATCGTACAACACAACCTGAAGCGCTACAATTCTGTACCAAGCTCTGTGTTGAAACTCAGTCAGTCAGTGTATAGTAAAAAATCACTCTCACCCTTTAATTAATAAGCACTTCACAGTTAAGTGATGTTCGAAATTGAGCACATGTGTTTACAGGTTTAATTGACTTGTTTAGTCGAACAAAGACGTTCGAGCACATGTCACCTATTACTTTCATTCACACTGCGTTGTATCGTATCTACACGATTCCCCTTGCTACTGTTTCGATGGGAAATTAGCTTCTGTTATCTGTATTTGCTAAAATGTTAGCTTAACCGATGACCGAGTCAAAGACAAACAAAGGCGTAGCTGTTTTTATCACTTATTCTTTATTAGAAATGGAATTTCTTACCAGAAAACAAATCCTTTATGATATTATGTCTGGATTTCGATGCTAGGGAACAATATGATATACAGTCTTATTTATCTGATGTTGACTCTAATTCACCGCATATCTTGCAAGAGCTTTTGTTTTAACTGCAGCACATTTCTAAAATATCAATATCTTGACTAATCTGCTTTCAGAATACATCACGTTTTTAGTGATGCCAGGCATTTATGTGTTGTGCTGTGCCTACTACGTTTATGTAGTGAAGTGCAGTAGCATACTAGAGCATTGTAAAATGTCTTTTCTGTTGTCTCAGAAGTGGTGATACTTAAAGATCAAGCGTACCAAGTTTCCCGTGATTACTGGGATGTTTACAACGTGTGAAAAGAGTGAAACAAACTTAGAGTTTCAGGGACATTTGGTATATTATTTGCACCTGATACGTACGTGTGTGTGTTTATCAATTTATGCGATGATTTGAAAATTTACGACGAACATATCGTGATGTATTTTCCTTGGATGTCAAGTGGTTATTTTATTTGCTGTATTGTATTGCTTATTTCATTACCATAAGTTCAGATAAATGTGTATATAAGTATATATTTATACGAAGAAATAAATAACCTCAGCAACGAAACAACAAGTATTTCCATCAGAAAATGACATCACTGTGTTCAGAGAATAGGAATATGCAATAAAACGTTTCCAGATATATTAGAAAGTGGGTAGATGAATAGCAGAAGACAAGAAATACAACACGCATTTAATACGGGATAGAAACAAACACCAGATATTGATGAACGCATAAACCATGCAGATATGGAATCCGAAATATGGATATAACTAAGTAACAAAACATTTTATATGGTGCAAAAATCATGAATAAAAATAATTCACTAAGACGAAGGAATCACAATTTCAGGAAACGAGCACATAATTTCGCTAAATCCAATGCTGTGGAAACAGTAGACGTCAATGTGGAAAACCTCGGCTTTCCTGAGATAACATTTGTGGATTTGATGGAAGTGGGACGAGTTGTAATTGATGACTTCATAGCGGTTGATTTTGCTATCCGTCTTGTTGTCCTTCTTGTTGTTGTTGTTGTTCTCTTGGTTGGCTTCTTAGTTGTGGTTTTGGTGGTGGTGGTGCGGGTTGTCTTTGGTGTTGTCTTGGTAGTTGCTCTTGTTGTCCTTCTTGTTGTTGTTGTTGTTCTCTTGGTTGGCTTCTTAGTTGTGGTTTTGGTGGTGGTGGTGCGGGTTGTCTTTGGTGTTGTCTTGGTAGTTGCTCTTGTTGTCCTTCTTGTTGTTGTTGTTGTTCTCTTGGTTGGCTTCTTAGTTGTGGTTTTGGTGGTGGTGGTGCGGGTTGTCTTTGGTGTTGTCTTGGTAGTTGCTCTTGTTGTCCTTCTTGTTGTTGTTGTTGTTCTCTTGGTTGGCTTCTTAGTTGTGGTTTTGGTGGTGGTGGTGCGGGTTGTCTTTGGTGTTGTCTTGGTAGTTGCTCTTGTTGTCCTTCTTGTTGTTGTTGTTGTTCTCTTGGTTGGCTTCTTAGTTGTGGTTTTGGTGGTGGTGGTGCGGGTTGTCTTTGGTGTTGTCTTGGTAGTTGCTCTTGTTGTCCTTCTTGTTGTTGTTGTTGTTCTCTTGGTTGGCTTCTTAGTTGTGGTTTTGGTGGTGGTGGTGCGGGTTGTCTTTGGTGTTGTCTTGGTAGTTGCTCTTGTTGTCCTTCTTGTTGTTGTTGTTGTTCTCTTGGTTGGCTTCTTAGTTGTGGTTTTGGTGGTGGTGGTGCGGGTTGTCTTTGGTGTTGTCTTGGTAGTTGCTCTTGTTGTCCTTCTTGTTGTTGTTGTTGTTCTCTTGGTTGGCTTCTTAGTTGTGGTTTTGGTGGTGGTGGTGCGGGTTGTCTTTGGTGTTGTCTTGGTAGTTGCTCTTGTTGTCCTTCTTGTTGTTGTTGTTGTTCTCTTGGTTGGCTTCTTAGTTGTGGTTTTGGTGGTGGTGGTGCGGGTTGTCTTTGGTGTTGTCTTGGTAGTTGCTCTTGTTGTCCTTCTTGTTGTTGTTGTTGTTCTCTTGGTTGGCTTCTTAGTTGTGGTTTTGGTGGTGGTGGTGCGGGTTGTCTTTGGTGTTGTCTTGGTAGTTGCTCTTGTTGTCCTTCTTGTTGTTGTTGTTGTTCTCTTGGTTGGCTTCTTAGTTGTGGTTTTGGTGGTGGTGGTGCGGGTTGTCTTTGGTGTTGTCTTGGTAGTTGCTCTTGTTGTCCTTCTTGTTGTTGTTGTTGTTCTCTTGGTTGGCTTCTTAGTTGTGGTTTTGGTGGTGGTGGTGCGGGTTGTCTTTGGTGTTGTCTTGGTAGTTGCTCTTGTTGTCCTTCTTGTTGTTGTTGTTGTTCTCTTGGTTGGCTTCTTAGTTGTGGTTTTGGTGGTGGTGGTGCGGGTTGTCTTTGGTGTTGTCTTGGTAGTTGCTCTTGTTGTCCTTCTTGTTGTTGTTGTTGTTCTCTTGGTTGGCTTCTTAGTTGTGGTTTTGGTGGTGGTGGTGCGGGTTGTCTTTGGTGTTGTCTTGGTAGTTGCTCTTGTTGTCCTTCTTGTTGTTGTTGTTGTTCTCTTGGTTGGCTTCTTAGTTGTGGTTTTGGTGGTGGTGGTGCGGGTTGTCTTTGGTGTTGTCTTGGTAGTTGCTCTTGTTGTCCTTCTTGTTGTTGTTGTTGTTCTCTTGGTTGGCTTCTTAGTTGTGGTTTTGGTGGTGGTGGTGCGGGTTGTCTTTGGTGTTGTCTTGGTAGTTGCTCTTGTTGTCCTTCTTGTTGTTGTTGTTGTTCTCTTGGTTGGCTTCTTAGTTGTGGTTTTGGTGGTGGTGGTGCGGGTTGTCTTTGGTGTTGTCTTGGTAGTTGCTCTTGTTGTCCTTCTTGTTGTTGTTGTTGTTCTCTTGGTTGGCTTCTTAGTTGTGGTTTTGGTGGTGGTGGTGCGGGTTGTCTTTGGTGTTGTCTTGGTAGTTGCTCTTGTTGTCCTTCTTGTTGTTGTTGTTGTTCTCTTGGTTGGCTTCTTAGTTGTGGTTTTGGTGGTGGTGGTGCGGGTTGTCTTTGGTGTTGTCTTGGTAGTTGCTCTTGTTGTCCTTCTTGTTGTTGTTGTTGTTCTCTTGGTTGGCTTCTTAGTTGTGGTTTTGGTGGTGGTGGTGCGGGTTGTCTTTGGTGTTGTCTTGGTAGTTGCTCTTGTTGTCCTTCTTGTTGTTGTTGTTGTTCTCTTGGTTGGCTTCTTAGTTGTGGTTTTGGTGGTGGTGGTGCGGGTTGTCTTTGGTGTTGTCTTGGTAGTTGCTCTTGTTGTCCTTCTTGTTGTTGTTGTTGTTCTCTTGGTTGGCTTCTTAGTTGTGGTTTTGGTGGTGGTGGTGCGGGTTGTCTTTGGTGTTGTCTTGGTAGTTGCTCTTGTTGTCCTTCTTGTTGTTGTTGTTGTTCTCTTGGTTGGCTTCTTAGTTGTGGTTTTGGTGGTGGTGGTGCGGGTTGTCTTTGGTGTTGTCTTGGTAGTTGCTCTTGTTGTCCTTCTTGTTGTTGTTGTTGTTCTCTTGGTTGGCTTCTTAGTTGTGGTTTTGGTGGTGGTGGTGCGGGTTGTCTTTGGTGTTGTCTTGGTAGTTGCTCTTGTTGTCCTTCTTGTTGTTGTTGTTGTTCTCTTGGTTGGCTTCTTAGTTGTGGTTTTGGTGGTGGTGGTGCGGGTTGTCTTTGGTGTTGTCTTGGTAGTTGCTCTTGTTGTCCTTCTTGTTGTTGTTGTTGTTCTCTTGGTTGGCTTCTTAGTTGTGGTTTTGGTGGTGGTGGTGCGGGTTGTCTTTGGTGTTGTCTTGGTAGTTGCTCTTGTTGTCCTTCTTGTTGTTGTTGTTGTTCTCTTGGTTGGCTTCTTAGTTGTGGTTTTGGTGGTGGTGGTGCGGGTTGTCTTTGGTGTTGTCTTGGTAGTTGCTCTTGTTGTCCTTCTTGTTGTTGTTGTTGTTCTCTTGGTTGGCTTCTTAGTTGTGGTTTTGGTGGTGGTGGTGCGGGTTGTCTTTGGTGTTGTCTTGGTAGTTGCTCTTGTTGTCCTTCTTGTTGTTGTTGTTGTTCTCTTGGTTGGCTTCTTAGTTGTGGTTTTGGTGGTGGTGGTGCGGGTTGTCTTTGGTGTTGTCTTGGTAGTTGCTCTTGTTGTCCTTCTTGTTGTTGTTGTTGTTCTCTTGGTTGGCTTCTTAGTTGTGGTTTTGGTGGTGGTGGTGCGGGTTGTCTTTGGTGTTGTCTTGGTAGTTGCTCTTGTTGTCCTTCTTGTTGTTGTTGTTGTTCTCTTGGTTGGCTTCTTAGTTGTGGTTTTGGTGGTGGTGGTGCGGGTTGTCTTTGGTGTTGTCTTGGTAGTTGCTCTTGTTGTCCTTCTTGTTGTTGTTGTTGTTCTCTTGGTTGGCTTCTTAGTTGTGGTTTTGGTGGTGGTGGTGCGGGTTGTCTTTGGTGTTGTCTTGGTAGTTGCTCTTGTTGTCCTTCTTGTTGTTGTTGTTGTTCTCTTGGTTGGCTTCTTAGTTGTGGTTTTGGTGGTGGTGGTGCGGGTTGTCTTTGGTGTTGTCTTGGTAGTTGCTCTTGTTGTCCTTCTTGTTGTTGTTGTTGTTCTCTTGGTTGGCTTCTTAGTTGTGGTTTTGGTGGTGGTGGTGCGGGTTGTCTTTGGTGTTGTCTTGGTAGTTGCTCTTGTTGTCCTTCTTGTTGTTGTTGTTGTTCTCTTGGTTGGCTTCTTAGTTGTGGTTTTGGTGGTGGTGGTGCGGGTTGTCTTTGGTGTTGTCTTGGTAGTTGCTCTTGTTGTCCTTCTTGTTGTTGTTGTTGTTCTCTTGGTTGGCTTCTTAGTTGTGGTTTTGGTGGTGGTGGTGCGGGTTGTCTTTGGTGTTGTCTTGGTAGTTGCTCTTGTTGTCCTTCTTGTTGTTGTTGTTGTTCTCTTGGTTGGCTTCTTAGTTGTGGTTTTGGTGGTGGTGGTGCGGGTTGTCTTTGGTGTTGTCTTGGTAGTTGCTCTTGTTGTCCTTCTTGTTGTTGTTGTTGTTCTCTTGGTTGGCTTCTTAGTTGTGGTTTTGGTGGTGGTGGTGCGGGTTGTCTTTGGTGTTGTCTTGGTAGTTGCTCTTGTTGTCCTTCTTGTTGTTGTTGTTGTTCTCTTGGTTGGCTTCTTAGTTGTGGTTTTGGTGGTGGTGGTGCGGGTTGTCTTTGGTGTTGTCTTGGTAGTTGCTCTTGTTGTCCTTCTTGTTGTTGTTGTTGTTCTCTTGGTTGGCTTCTTAGTTGTGGTTTTGGTGGTGGTGGTGCGGGTTGTCTTTGGTGTTGTCTTGGTAGTTGCTCTTGTTGTCCTTCTTGTTGTTGTTGTTGTTCTCTTGGTTGGCTTCTTAGTTGTGGTTTTGGTGGTGGTGGTGCGGGTTGTCTTTGGTGTTGTCTTGGTAGTTGCTCTTGTTGTCCTTCTTGTTGTTGTTGTTGTTCTCTTGGTTGGCTTCTTAGTTGTGGTTTTGGTGGTGGTGGTGCGGGTTGTCTTTGGTGTTGTCTTGGTAGTTGCTCTTGTTGTCCTTCTTGTTGTTGTTGTTGTTCTCTTGGTTGGCTTCTTAGTTGTGGTTTTGGTGGTGGTGGTGCGGGTTGTCTTTGGTGTTGTCTTGGTAGTTGCTCTTGTTGTCCTTCTTGTTGTTGTTGTTGTTCTCTTGGTTGGCTTCTTAGTTGTGGTTTTGGTGGTGGTGGTGCGGGTTGTCTTTGGTGTTGTCTTGGTAGTTGCTCTTGTTGTCCTTCTTGTTGTTGTTGTTGTTCTCTTGGTTGGCTTCTTAGTTGTGGTTTTGGTGGTGGTGGTGCGGGTTGTCTTTGGTGTTGTCTTGGTAGTTGCTCTTGTTGTCCTTCTTGTTGTTGTTGTTGTTCTCTTGGTTGGCTTCTTAGTTGTGGTTTTGGTGGTGGTGGTGCGGGTTGTCTTTGGTGTTGTCTTGGTAGTTGCTCTTGTTGTCCTTCTTGTTGTTGTTGTTGTTCTCTTGGTTGGCTTCTTAGTTGTGGTTTTGGTGGTGGTGGTGCGGGTTGTCTTTGGTGTTGTCTTGGTAGTTGCTCTTGTTGTCCTTCTTGTTGTTGTTGTTGTTCTCTTGGTTGGCTTCTTAGTTGTGGTTTTGGTGGTGGTGGTGCGGGTTGTCTTTGGTGTTGTCTTGGTAGTTGCTCTTGTTGTCCTTCTTGTTGTTGTTGTTGTTCTCTTGGTTGGCTTCTTAGTTGTGGTTTTGGTGGTGGTGGTGCGGGTTGT